CGAAGGAGGCTTGCAACGAGATGCTAAAGGGGAAGCGATGCTAAACGGGGGGTTAATATATTTGTGCAAACCTGGCAGGTGACTAGAATGTGACCTTAATTGACTGTCTGGGTATGTTATATTTTTGGGAGTTCCTAAACGGACTGCATTTGAGTCCTGTAGCACAAAGGAAATTCGCTGTTTGTTGCTTGGATTGGCAGAGCTGGAACAGAAATACACAATATAAAGAGCTGTTGGATTTGAACACACACTTTTCTGATCGCAACTCATAGCCAACCTTTGGTACTCTTTGCCAGGGGATGGTGTGAGGCCAAAAGCATAACTGGGCTCCAAAAAAGAATTAGATAAATTTAGGGAGGAAAGGTCCATCAAGGGCTATTAGCCAAGGGAGTCAACCCCATGCTCTGGCTGTCCCTAACCCGCTGACTGACAGAATCTGGGGATGGATCAGGCGATAAATTGCCTTGTTCTGTTCATTCCCTTTGAAGCGCCTGGCACTGGCCACTCTGGGCAGACAGGATGCTGAGCTAGATGGACCATTGGGCTGACCCGGCATGGCCGTTCTTATGAATTAAAGGTCATGGGAAGTGGGGAGGGATCAGTAAACTAGGCAGCAGATTTGAAGTCCCAAGCCATTTTGGCGTTACAACGTCTTGACAGTGCTAGGTGTCCACCCACCATCCTCATTAGCCAAAATAAACCCCAAACAAGGCTGGGCCCAGCAGAGGTGAACTCTGCAACACAGCGACTTCCCTGATAGAAGCTGATCTTGGCCCCCGGCTAGTTTGTACTTGAGCACAATTGAAATATTGGGCGTGGTGCCTGAGCGGAGGCTACAATAGGGTCGGCTCCTTAATGGTGCGCTGGGATTTATGTTGGTCCCTCACCTGTCAGCAAGTACGCTGTAGGGCCCGATCCTGCCAGGTGCTGAATCTGTCCCTGAATGAGGCTTACAGGTGAAGGTGGCGTCACACCATAACATGATTGAGGATGGGGGAGTATTTTGGCTGGCAGAATTATGAGATCGTCAGCAACGGTTGCAAAGGACGTGACTACTTTAAATGCTCTAAACACAAACGCAAAACACACAAGCAAACACACCCCGATTCTGCTCCCATCGAAACCAATGACAAAACTTTCATTGACTTCAGTCGGGTAGGATCCAGCCCCCCCCCCCCCCCCATAAAGCCACGTGAGTCAATCGTGTTGGAAAGAACTACAGTGTCCCACGTTATTCTGTGAGGACTCTAGGGTGGGCTACTTGGGGCGTTTGCTGTTGCTTTATGACTCTTGCAAAGCAAGAGTCCAGGCAATGTGACTGGACAGTTTAAAGATTTAAACTGTCTTATTTTTAGCACGGCTCTAATTCCCCTGGCTGGTTTAAACCACCTGGGAGACAATCATCCAGATCGGGTGAAAGCCCTTTTTTGCAAAAAAAGAGAGAAAGAAAGAAAGAAAGAAAGAAAGAAAGAAAGAAAGAAAGAAAGAAAGAAAGAAAGAAAGAAAGAAAGAAAGAAAGAAAGCGACCTTAAAAAAAACCCAGAAACCCTCACCAAAATCTGAACAAACTGGTGATTAGATTCGCTTTTCCAGCAAGCATCTCAGACCAGAGTCGGGAGAACACGCCGATTGCTTTTATAAACTATCAGGGACCTATTTCACATGGAAAGAAACCGAGAAAAACAAAAGTTCTTGTTCTCTTTGACAAAAGTCTGTCTACAGATGTAAATAACAGTGACTGTGATGTAGAGCTCTCCTTGCCCGGGGGGTGGGGGGAGGGGGATCTGCAAGAAGATGCTGGAGTCTGTTTTCTGCTTGAAGATTTTTCGAATACAATGCAGAGGGGAAGGCAGGGGTAAAAACGCTACAGCTGTTTCCAAAGGGAGATAAGGGTGAAAGCTGATCGTTAGAGGGGGAAATATACGTATTGAAACACAAAATGTTACGTGTTTCGCATCAAAAGATTCCCAGGGATAGATTGAACTCTTAGTGTTTTCCACCAGAGCTTAGAGTTAATAGTAACACCTACTTGGAATGTCTCCGTCTGGTAAATGGGAAAAAACCATGCTTCGATTGTAAGTGTTTGCTGGGTGTTATTATTCTGTTAGGTTTTCCTTTTTTGAAAGAAAAAAAAAAGACTCAAAATGAGCATGCCCGTATTATGCCCGAAAAACTAAGGTTTAAAAAGAGAGTCCAAGGCTGCAAATGAACACCCCTGCGCCAAGGCGTGCAATCGCTTGTGAGATCGACGGCCCAATCTCACAGACTTTATCCTGGGCCCAAAATGCTGCCACCCACAAAGAGGAAATTAGCTAGCTGCTGAAACCCTGCCATTTTCCAGGGCCAGACCGTTACAGCTTGGCGACAAGGAGCAGGGAGCCCTGTGAGAGAGACATTTAAGTGCTTTCTTTTCCTGAGGATTTTTATTGTATTGTTTAATGTGACAGGGTCCTGCAGGAAGTCAGCCACCCGGAGAAGGGGGGACTTCAAGAGACAGAGACAAGGATGCATTTGACCTACCTGAGATCATTCCCTTCGAGTGGAAATCGAATAAAAATCATTACAACGCCTTTTTTTAAAAATGGTTATTACTAATTCTTCTTTGGGGGATTTGGTTTTCTACCGTAGCCGAGATCAGGCGGGTAGGACTCGATATTGAGTCGGGAAAACAGCTCGAGCATGAGCGATCATGAAAATTTGGAAACGCAAACAAGAGGATGCTGCCCGCAGTCACTGTTTAACGCGGGCTCCGCACTTCCCAGGGTCCAGTGTCACTCTGGAACTGTCCAGCAAAAAAGCAATTTTCCGGAGAGCCGCAGCTGGCATGCCAAATGCCCCCAGAGGGAAAGGACTGGTAGCAGCAGCGAGTGGCTGCCCTTTCGGGGGAAAGCACCCGCCCCCGGCTCTGGCAGTAGCTTCGGGAGGTCGATACCTGCCACGGGGCAGTCCTTTATCCCGTCAGCTATTTGCAAAATGCGACTGCAATAAGATATTATCGTGCGGCCAGCCTGGACCGCATGTTGGCACATCGGCACTGAGGCGTCTGTCTACACTCTGCCAGCCTGAGAATCCCCGGAGTGGTCCTGGGTTATTCAGCCCCCACCCGCTGCTAACCCCCATCAAGGGCCTAGTGCCCTTTAGACAAACAAGGGAAAGGCTCAAGCAGCAGATCACCTGTGCCTGCAACCCCACTCTGCGCCCCGGAGGCCCTATGCTGGACAGAGAATCTGCCACTGGGAACTCTGGGTCAAGCAAGGAACCTGTTAGGGAGGAGAAGTGGCAAGTTTAATGTTAGTGGCCCTGGATATTCCTCTGTCTCCCTATCTCCCCCCCCCCTCACACACACACACACACGCGCGTGCAGGGGATTCTCACACCCAGCCCACCCTCTCCCCACCCAAAAAAAGAAGCCCCTGATTTCCACCTTACAGGTACAGAACAACGCGATGAGGCGACTGTGAGCTGGGGGGGGATTGGGGGGGGGAGCTATTCAGCGAAAAATCTCCCCGATTTAATTTGAAGAAGAGGCGAGGATTTGGGGATGTCGGCGGGGAAGGAGAGTGTATTCGCTCCTCTTTTTCCCCTCCTTTCTCCCCGCCTTGCTCTTTTATGAATAGACAAAAAAACTGGAGAATTTGGCACGAGCAGCTCGGGTTTTTGTAGGAAGGCTGTTGACACAGAGCACAAATGACTCCGATGGGCCATGCTGCGTTTCAACCAAGCGTTTCAACGCACGCTGCCAGAATTCGGCCGCCTATGGTATTTGCCAGATCAAAACCAGCCCGGGGAATATTGTCTGCCACGAACTACAGCGTATCTTCTCCGTCCAGCTATTCACCTTTTCGTCCTAATAGGTGTTTAGTGGTTTTTTTGATTTGCTTTTTTTATGGGAGGAGATTTGCCTCCTCAGCCGTTTTTATTGTGCTGCATTTATAGTCTGTGATTCCATAGGTTAGCATGGGTATTTACTGACAATCTTTGCAGCTGGCATCTACATTCGTTGGGGGACGTATGTTATTACCATTAAAATTAACTTGGTGGAAACCAGCTGTGTTTGAAAAGGGCTCCTAAGGCCATTTTTATCTAAAGGCTGCTTTCTTCGTTACCAACGTGCTAGACGATCCTGTGATGGCATTTTTTTTATTATTAATTATTATTATTACTAAGCAACAACGAGCCTCTACACCTCTGAAGCATGTTAAAGTTGTTTACAAGGGATCTGAAGGGAGAGAAGGCTGGTAGCTTTCCCATATCCGCTGTCAGCCCCGGGCATTTATAATGAGAGCTCAGATTGGGTATGGGAAGCAGAAGATGAAGTCAAATGAAGCCAGATCTTTTGTACAAGAAACGAATAAAAAAGAGAATGCGTTCAGACAGTGCTGCAAAATCACCCTAATATGAACTTGCTGGGATAGTTCCTAGGACTTCCTAACGAGATCCAGATCAAATGTTATTCCTTATTATCCCCACAGGATGTTAAAAATTTATTTTTCCTGTACACTGTTGTTTTATCGGGGCAACTGCGTGTAGCATACTGCTGCTGAACTGAGAGGTAACTGACTACATTCAAAGCACCTCATAAGGCCGACATCTCAGTCGGTAAATAAAACTGTCAAGAAAAAGATTAAAATAAGAGTGATTAATCAGAACCTATCCTGATGAGGATTCTTTCACTCACATAATTTGCGGATTGGAGAATCTCACTCCAGGTTCAAGCCGGCCAATTGTCCTGGGTTTGCAAAGTGTTCTGCAAATCTTCCGATCCTGGGAAGCCCCTTTAAACTAAGCCAGGAATGCCTACATGTTTTCATTTCAACTATGCTATTTCGTCACGTGAACTGAGCCTTTGTTAAATAAATAATCATAAAAAAGAGTAATAAACCTTTAGTCTCCAGGAAATCTACTCGGTTTTAACATCAACGTGTTCCACGTTTTCTGCCCGAAAAATGGGATCAGGAAAACCTGCAAACACACACACACACACATTCACACATACATATACACACACACACATGCGCCAGACTTTGAGCAGAAGAAAACAACATGGATTTATTTTAAGGTAAGTACAACGATTAAGACCACATAAGACAAACAAGCGTGAAGTAGAATAAAAACAAATAGTTCTCAGGAATGGTCAGGGTGGAGACTATTATACAAAACATCACACTGTCGTAAATAAAAAAACGAATCAGAGACTTTGTCTTTTTTTCCCAAAAATCCACCAACAAAAATAAATTATTTCCTCGTCTTGTAAAAAGAACAGCTCTAAAGAGGAAGAAATTCTCTTGCATAATTGTACAAAAAAAAAAAGGAAGAAGAAATCACTTGTAATTAATTGGGCTGCCAGGAATTGTTGGGCAACATAAAAAAAAATAATCCAGTGAACTCAACTTTAAATATTATATTAATGGCTCTGAAAATTAGCCTGATTAGAAATCCACACATTTTACAGCACAATAAGAGAACTTAAAATACCCAGGACATATATTTATATATATAATATATATAATTTTCTTTTTAATCGCATAATGGTCGCTGTGATATTGGTCCATAACTTATTTTCGGAGACCTCCTATACTTTAGCATATAACTTTGCCACTTTGTTTAGATAGCTCTCTATATATTTTAAAGATATCCCTTTTCAAGTAGAATTTACTTGTTTGGAATTTACAGACGATGGAAGAGGATTAAGGGTCTATAAACTCTTTGGTTCCCAGGTCCGCTTAGAGGTTGTAAAAGTATTTCCTTGTGCAGTCTTAAGTGTTTGCTTAATTGGCCTACCCAGGAGAGTCAATGCTAATCAATACTTAGTGCAGTCATAGGAATAGGGGGTGGCGTGGCGGTATATGGAGGGCGTGGATCTATAGGGGATCTGACAGCTTGTGTTGCCGCTCACCTGATGCTCGTTGAGGGTCGAGCTCTCAATCCCCAGCCGGTGAGAGTTGAACATGTCCCGGACGGTCGGGAAAGGCTGCTGCTGGGAGCCAAACGTGTGCCCGGAGAGGTGGTTGAGCTCGGTGCTGTGGTTGAGGTACCAGGAGGCTGCCGGCTGCCCGGGCCCGCCGCTGGGATGCGGGTGGCTGGGGGTCAGCGCGCTCTCCTGGCTGGAGGCCAGGCTCATGGTGGCCAGGGGCGAAGCGGTGCCGTTGGGGTGCTCCGAGATGGCTTCTTCCAGCGCGGTGGGGACGCACATGTGGCCCGACCTGTCCCCGGTGTAGAGGCTCATGGCCCGCATGCTGCACTGGTAGCTCCCGCTCGTGTCCACGCTCTGGCTGCACGCCTGGCTGTAGATGGAGGGTTGCGCCTGGGGGTAGCCCAGCGGCAGCGAAGCCACCAGCCCTGCCCCTGTCCGGCCGGAGGCGGCGCTCCCGGGGCTCAGCTCCCCCGGGGGAGAAGTCCGCAGGGTCATGATGTTCTCCACGCTGAAGCCCGACAGCCCGTTGCCGGCCGGGTGGTGCTCCGGCAGGGAGCTCTCGGTGGACACCGACGGGGTGGAGGCCACGCTCCTGGGGCTGCCGCTGCCCGGGCTCAGCGTCTCCACCTTGGTGATGACCGGCAGGTCTGGCGAGGAGGCCTCGCTCTTGATGACCACCTTCTTCTCCGAGGCCTCCTTGGAGATGTCCGGGCTGGAGATGCCCGGCGCCTTGGGCTGCTCCTTGGCCTGCCTCTCCTCCTTCTCCTTGGGCACGTCTTTCTTCTTGAAGCGCCGGCGGCGGCGCAGGAAGCTGCCGTTCTCGAACATGTTGTAGGAGTCCGGGTCCAGGGTCCAGTAGCTGCCCTTGCCGGGCTTCTTGTCGTCCCGGGGCACCTTGACGAAGCACTCGTTGAGGGAGAGGTTGTGGCGGATGGAATTCTGCCAGCCCTGCTTGTTCTCCCTGTAGAAGGGGAACCGGTCCATGATGAACTGGTAAATCCCATTCAGGGTGATCTTCTTGTCCGGGGCGTTCTGGATGGCCATGGTGATGAGAGCAATGTAGCTGTAGGGAGGCTTCACCAGGTCCTTGGGGGCCGCCGGCTGGTGGTGATGGTAAGGCCCATAGGAGCGGCCCATGCCGGCGGCGTACTGGTCAGGGTGGCCCGAATAGACGCTCATGGGGCTGGCCATGTTGCTGTAAGTCCCCGCGGTCCGGTAGTAGTTCTGCTCGCTCAAGTAAGGCACCACTCCCAAGGCGTTGGGGTCGGAGACGGAGTAGCGAGCCTGCATCATGGATGGGGCTCCCCCAAATCGCAAGGCGACGCGACGAAATCACCGGGGTCCGGGGGAGGGGGGACGAAGAGGGTAGGGGTTTTGGGGGAGAGGGGCTCACCCCAACGGGATTCCTCTGCAGAGGAGGAGGGCGAGGGAGGAAGGGGTGAGAGAGAGGGAGAGTCTCAAACACAAGCTGCCCAAATCCAACAGGGTCCTTAGCAGCAGTAAATCAGCAGCATCCTTCGGAGTCGCCAGGCGGAGCGTGCAGTGCGGATATCTAGTGATCTCTCTGGGTTGTTGTTTTTTTTTTTCAGAGGTGGTAAAAGCTGCTGCTAAAAGGGAGGCAGAAGCAGGGAATAATTCTCGCAGGCAAAGAAAAGTCTTGAGGGGGGAAAAAAGATAATTCTTGCAACAACAACAAATTCTTCTGGGAGGGAAACCACCACCACTTCTTGCGAACTCGGAACCAAAATAAACTCTAGGGCTGTGGAGGAGCCTGTGAGAGTCCGGTGTGTGTGTGTGTGTGTGTCTGTCTGTCTGTCTGTGTGTGTGTGTGCGCGCAGAGCCACCGGCGAGCCCCGCAAATGCTAACTCCCCTTATAGGGTTTGGGAAAGTTTCAAAACTTTTCTTGCTGAAGGCGAGTTTTTACTCCTCGCCGGCCACGCCTCTGCCCCCGACTTTGAGCCAATCGCCGCGCCCTTTGGGATGGCTTTGTCCAATCAATGGGCAGGGAGAGAGAGAGAGCGAGAGCTAGAGGCTGCGGCAGAGCAGCGGGGCTGGGACCAAGGTAAACGCACCGGGGCTGTATCTTTCGAAGGCGTTGGAAGGTAACGAGCATCCAGCGCGGCTCATTCGTGACTTTTGGTTGCTCGCGGTAGGATTTTAAAGGACATGAAATGTAACGTATGAGCGGAATGGGTTTTAAGCCGTAAGCCAGGCCAGGTTCATGACGAGCTGATCGCAATGATCAGCGATCACTGAAAACATTTCCCCGAGCGCTGTATTTATTATTCCTCCAGGTTTTTAACGGAGGAAACCTGCAATGCTGTATAAACACAGAGCTTCCCAATTTAAATACATTTTAGTTTAAAATCAAATCACCCTCCTGTCCGTGGGCGGCTATTCAGAAGGGGCTGATCATTTTCTTGGGTTCTTTCTCACACGTTTCTTGTAGCGTAGCTACCTATAAAAGCATTAGCACTGAAAGCTAGGGGATGGCACACATCACATTTCATAGCCTACGCTATCAGATCAAACAGCCGGCACTGGGATATTTGGAGGGTAGCAAGTTTGCAGCTTCCTCGAACACTTTCAAAAGATTTGAGCAAATAAAAATAAAGAAATAAAGAAATAAAGACCCAGGAGAAAAAGACCCACATCGAGATGAGTTTTCTTGGGTTTGTGAAACCCGCCCCTCCTGCTTTCCCTAATGATTTCATTACAGGCAATCAGATTCGGTTAATTAGGGACGCATGCTCGGGGAGTGCAAAGTCCTGTATTTGCAAAGCTTCTGCGAAGTGCGCTGCATTGATCGTGGATAACGTTTCTCTCCAACGCAGCCAGATGAAGAAAGAAATGACCTCTCCTCCCGCCCCCAAGTAAAATAAAAAGCAAAGAACAAAACCACCTCCCTTTGGATCCAAATTTCTGAAAGGTGAATTTAAATTAAAACGGAATAAAATAGCTACAGACCCAGTCTGTGTCCGCTGCCTACTGAAATAAGGCCCTCCGTCTACAATTTACTTCATGCGACTTCTGAAAAGACCATCTAACAATTTGTGCGGAGCAAAACTCAGTCTTCGGGAATCGGTAAAGCTTCAGACAGGGACACATTTAACAAAAAGCGAATTTCGTGTGTGTGTGTGTGTGAGAGAGAGAGAGAGAGAGAGAGAGATGTCTCCTTATTTATCTTAACAAATATACTCAGTACATAACTATCAGGGATCCAAGTGGGGTAGGTATTGCAGGGCTAATGGTACCTGAGAATCACAAAAGCTCTCTGTGAATGTCTTAATACAAAAGGGAAAGTTTTTTACCCAACACTTGAAAATCCACCAAAAACCTGTAATGGAAATTGATTGTAAAATGCAGTTGATGTCTTGGAAACTTTCACCTTCGTTTCATAGCAATAAATTCAAATGACACCCTTCGATTTCTTTAGGTAGAATAAATGCCAGGGTGATTTTCACAAGAGTATAAAAAAGCAAATTAGGTTAGCGTTGCTGGTGTCTCATTTAAATGTATTAACGGAGAAACGGGGTTTATTTAACAGGTTTTTAAACGACTTCCCATTTTTAAACTTCAGCTTTCAGTACAACCACACTTCTGATCAGCCCTAATTGTTTTAAAGCACACAATAAGCATAGGGGGACTTTTTTTAAAAAAAACATACACAATTTTAAAAAGTTGTAAACGTCCAACTCTGCCCAAAGAAACACTGGTGGGTTATAGCTCTTTAACCTATTATTTCCTAAAAGTTTAAGTTTTGTCTCAACACATAGCCTGGTTACTAAACCTTACGTCCCATCAGTTCACCACTCTCAAAACTTTACGGAGCGTAAGTTTCTAAAGAAATCGAAAAGACGCCCTGTGCCCTCGCATCACGCATTTGGAAAATCTGTGGAGCCTAAGTCCAAAGGATCTGAAAAGCTACAAGACAAAATAGTTTCAGCCCCAGATCCTTTCAATCAAGAGCGCAAAGGTGGACAAGAGATATTCTCTTTTCCTTGGAATGCTCCGGCTCTTTTTGGTTTCCCCATTAGGACTCCCGGGAGCAATGTTTGAGTTATTTGAACATCAGCTTCTACGTGCCTAGAGGTTTTGTCTTTAAATTTTGTATTTACCCTTGGTGGACACTATAAAACAATACTCTGAACCTTTCCACTACCAGATTTCCTCCCCCCCTTTGAAATGTCCTTGCAATCTTGGAGAATGTTTTTATGAGAAACAAGAACATTGCAAAGACCCGGTTGCAAAGACTGGGATAATCAGGCAGGAGATTTGTCCCATTGTTTTTCTACAAAGGCAACAACAGAACCAGTTGCTTTCTGGTAGCCAAGTGAAGCTCTCCTCAAACATCACCTGAACTCCCCCCTGAAAGTCTAGTTTGCTCACTTTGTGGGTTTTGGTGCCCTCTAGGGGATACGCAGGAGACTGTAAATATTTTTCTCTGCAAACGTTCAGTGCATTGAATGGTAAAAATGTCGGTGCTGACACCTTGTGGACTTATCCTGGCAGAGCAGTTGTAGTATCGAAAATTTATCAAATGTCAAACACGAACGTGGTCTATTAGTTTTCGGGGGGGACTGTCCTGCGGCCGTGTGTCAGTAGGTGCCAGAAATGGGAGGCAAGAGTTTATTCCAAAGAAGAAACGAGTTTGCACAGGCAATGGAAAACGAAGCTTAGCTGTTCCAGTGACTATGTTTTTCCTGCAAAAATATATGCACATACTTGCCTTAACTCTAAGCATACGCGTAAGGCTTTGCAGGACCAGAAACGAACACAGCAGAGGTAGCGACATCTGAAAATGGGTATGGGGAAATGACCCAAATACACACACACAGAGAGAATCAGTTTCAGAGCAGCAGCAAATGAAGATCCAAACGTGCCTGACTCAAAACCAGTTCGTTAGTTTCAACCTTGACTACCCTGAGGAGCCTCCGTTGTTTCATTGTTTCCTGTGCAAAACGTTATACAACCGTAGAAAGTTTACTAGCAAATAGAAACTTGTTTCATAACGAGCCAGATCTAACATACAATTTCAGCAAAATGAAGTAGGTTTTTTGTTTGTTTGCTTTTTGGAATTTAGTTTTTCTCTAACCCAATGCTATAGAGATTCGAGAGTTGTCTTGACTTGTATTCTGTACAGTATTGCCTATGATAATAATTTGATTAATAATTCTTCAAACCAAAGCATTACAAGCAATTACCTTACTGTATTGGTTTAATCTCCAGGGCAGAAAATAAAGCACAGAAATGCATCTGCCCCTATTTTTCAGCTTTCATTTTCAAGGAATTTGCAAGCTTTCTTTTATTGCTGTCCTTAATGTGTCAATTTCTGAGGCTGGAGAAAGGATTTGCAATAAAAGGCACTTGCAAGAATTGTGGAGAGCAGGGGAAAAATACAAAGGGGATTTGGAATCCAGGCTTTTAGAAGCATTCCTTGGTTTTCTTCTTCGTCTAAAACTGTAAAACACTTCAAGAAAGATTTTCACATTTTCCCTTCTAAATCAAATGCTTGAATTTTAATAGTTCTTATAAGACAATGGTTTATCTTTCACTATTTTTGTAAGCAGTGTTGTAGACTCCTGGATAGCAGGAGATTAGAGAGAGGAGGTGGCTGAGGATATCTTTTATTGGACCAACTTCTGTTGAGGAGAGAGACAAGTTTTGGAGCTTGAAAGCTTATATCTCTCACCAACAGAAGCTGGCCCAGGAAAATATACTACCTCACCCACTTTGTCTATCTTTCTCTATACTATATTCCAATTTTTAAGCAAAATTATTAGGTACTCAGATACCACAGTGAAATGTGCAATGCGGGAATTATAGTAGTATAGACTAGAACACTCCCTTTTATTAGGGATTTTTAGGGCCTGATCCAACTTCTATTGAAACCAAAGAGAGACTTTCCACTGACTTTAGTGGGAGGTGGGCCATTAGTGCTAAAGCTCAAGTTGGCAATATATGTATGACAGTGAGAAAAGAGATCTTGGAAAAGTGATTTTGAGCAAATGGGATTTCAGTCTTATGGGATCAAACAATAGCTGATGCATGAAACCAGTAGAAGAGGCCTCAATTGTTAGGCAAGTTGCTAATTTAAGAGCCCATTCCCAAATATTCCTAAATGTATCACGTCCAGTTCTGCTTCACCTTTGTTAGAAGACCAACTCTTTTAAGCAACTATTTTTGATGGCTTCTTAGATAGATTTCATTATCTATCTATTTATCTTATCTTAGATAATTATATGGCCTCCCTTCTGAGTGTCCCATAATCTTTAATGTATTTATCTTCACAACACCACTGTGAGATAGGAAAGTACTATCAGCCCCATTTTATAGGTGGTAAACTGAGGCATTAAGCTGCTAACTAACTTGCCCAAGGTCACACAGGAAGTCTGTGGTGGTCCTGGGACACAGACCTCCAAAATCCTAGGCTGGCCCATGGGACCATCCTTCTTCTCTGATATACAGTAAATTATTTCTAAAGGGGAAGGGGATAATTGTAGGCACTTCAGTCCACACAGAGGAATTATCCTTCCAAAGGTTCTGCTTCACCAGATTTAGAGTATCATAATTACTCTGAATTAAAGAGAGGTTGTAAATAGCTCATCAAGGGCCCAATCCTGAACTCCCTACAAAGACAAATAAATGAGCCATCAATGTTATTGGGAGTTTTGCATGAATCGAAAGTGGAGAGTTGGCCTCCAAATCCTCAAACATCTGATTCACGTGGATGGTCTGTTATGTCTGGATGGGGAACCATCGACTTCAACAGCACTCAGTTTTGGTGTACCAGTCTTCCTGGATGGATCCCACTGCCATGGCCCTAATTGCTTGTATTGAAATCAGGGTGAGTTTCACCATGGACTTCAAGAGAAACAGCATCAGGCTCCAGGGTTATTGGGACTGTTCTGCATTTAGCCAAACATGTTCGTATTAATCCATGTCCAAAAATGCCCAGTGAA